GAATTGAAGGAGATCCTACCTGATGAATCATTATCAGATATTAGTAACCTGTCACTATTAGGAGGACGTGATATTAAGGTAAAAATTAAGACATTAAATTGGTTGATACCATATACGCCATATATTTTGCGGTGGTTAAATTTATGATTTTCGTGTTTTGGAAAAATTTGTGACACCAAAATCTGCAAAATAGCTTGCTGATTGTATAGTAGGTGTGGCAATTAAAATAAAATCACAAAATTAAATTTTTATTCGCAAATACAAAAGTGCAGCCAAATCACGAATTTTTATACTAGCAAAGTATATGGCGTATACAGTACATTAATCAATGGTCACATTTTACTGAAATTTAATGACTTATCAAAATACTTTTGATTTCTTGCTCATAATTGTGGGTTGATACTGTATGGCTCCAAATTTTCGTCAGTCAAAAATTTCGTCAAAATCTTGATTTCTTGTTAAAATTAATTTTCGTCAATAAAATTTTCATCATTTTTGTTATTAATCTGCATACTACTCACGTGGAACAAAAAATTTCGTCAAGCAAAAGTACTTGACAAATTTGACGAAAATTTTGACTGACGAAAATTTGGTGCTATACGGTATTGTGTAGCTTTTATATACCTTATACATCTGTTAAACTATCACCTTTCAGCAATACCATGACAGTGACAAATATCAGTATATATCATTATTATTGTATAGGAAGTAATTGAAATAAAGCCTAATGCACTCTACAGAGACACTACAATAAAGCTAGGTATGTAGTCAAGTCGTGGGAGTGTAGACTGTACAGTATATATACACATTATTAATTATTATTTTTGTAGATATTAAAGATCTTGATATTGTCATTAAAGAATTAACATCAGATCAACACTTGTCCTGTTCTGTATGGCACAGACTAGGTCTACAGTTAGGATTATATGATCCTAGACTAGTGGATATAGATGAGAGACACAGAGGAGATCCAGTAAAATGTTTTCATGCTTGTATGTCTGCCTGGTTAAGAGGAGAAGATAAAGTGAGAGAGAAAGAAGGTCCCAGTTGGTCATCATTAGCTATAGCACTGGATACAATAGAAGAGAAATGTATTGCTACTAACATTAGAGATAAATATTGTACATCAAAGGACTTAATTGCTAGATCACCTGTTAATTGAAATTATTATTATTCTATTATTTGTTAAGATGGCTGCCTATAGTATCTTATTTTGTTTATAACTATTACTTATTATTAAATGTGTGATAAAGGCGCTTTGACATTTATGCATACATGTACAAGTACATGTAACTACAATATATTATTATTATTATTACTATAAGTAATCATTGTTGTACAAATGTTACGTAATGATCATTATGCATTTTATTGTTATTCTTATTGTTAATTACATGCATGTGTGTTACCCATATTGTGGCCATTACTATTTCTATTTATAGACAGACTGTCAATATGACATCATATGATGTATTATGATTTTTAGTATAACTGCATGCTTTTACTGTTTTTGTTGTTCGTTCATTTTTTCCTACTTCCTTCTACTTCATTATTTTTATTCTCATTTAAAGTCATCTTTGAACCTAGCGTAGTTGCCATTCTCACATTAATGAGATACGCATGCTGTTCTTTCATACTCTCAGTTGTGTTTCACTTCTACATGTATATCTGGTTAGTATGCAATTCAAATCCCGCCTTATCCCGGAATTAAGCAAAGAACTAAGCAATGCAATATACATCATTATTACTATTTACGTCTGTCTGTCTGTTGCTAATAAAAACTTTGAGTTGATTCCGACAACAAATTTTTGTGCAATGGGCAATTTTTGAATTACTACATCACTACCAAACGCGTACACTAGCATCGTTACTATAAATAGTATCAATTACTACAACAGACAATGATACATGTATATCATATGCTACAATAGCATAGTGTCATTGTACTATAAATAGTATCAGTGTTACTATAAATAGAATCATTTACCTCTATTCCTAAGGAAGAATGACACTATGTCTCAGTTCCAGTCTCCAGTGGATTGAGTGGGAAGGAACATTGACCCAATAAATTAAGAGCTTACAGCTTTCAAAAGTTCCTCAGGCTCCACCTTATGTTAATCATTAGCTCCAGCTTTAGCAAACCTTACCTGAAATGAGAGAGAGAGGAGAGGGAGAGAGGGGGAATAAGATAGAGGGGAATGAGGAGACAGAGGAGGAAGATAAAAAGAGAAAGGATCATAAAAGATCAGAGCAAGAGGAGAGAGAGCATACAGTGACTGGTTTAGCTTCTTCTTATTCACTCTCAGTAGTCAGTATCAGTTTTTCTCCATCACTTACAATACCACCAGCCCCTGATACACACCCACACATGTGACGCAGGCAAGGATCAAGTTGAATGATACTCTTCAGTGGAGTTAATCTAATGATTTGTAACCAATGGATTCACAATAGTGCAATAAAAAAAAGAATATTTCAAAATAAAACAAAATCAATAAAACTCACCCTCTTTAAAAACTCTAGCAACATAGCATGACATGTCCCCTGATTTTGATGATAATACAATCCTGTCCATTAAACCACTAGAGCATGAGAGGAGGAGGAGAGAGTAAGGGTGGGGAGGAAAGGGCAAAGAATAGGATAGAAATAAGTCGTGTAAATTTCCTCTTTCACTCTTATCATCACAAAATATGGTCAGAGGTAAAAACTGTCTAATTTTAAAAAGCAAGTCAATTTTTGAAAAAAAACAAAGGCTCCGAAATCAACTCAATATTACTTTATTATATTTTCTGATACATATTGATGTCCTTATGCTATGTAGAAAGTTTGGGCTGATTACTAGAAAGCATTTTTAAGTTATGAATATAAAAATGGGCAACTTTAATAAAATCAAAGGCTATTATAGCACGTAGTTTTAAAAAATTGACTCCCAAAAATCACCTATTATTATTTGTGATACATACATGTATTCAAGGGTTTCCACAAAGCATGCTTGCTTCATGAGCTGACAAGCACTACAATTCAGTACATGGCATTTCGAGCAACATTACAAATTCAAATTTGACAAGAGTCAGCTCAAATTTCCTGCACAACATACTGTAAGTGTATGCATATGTATCAGACAAAATTATTAAAATGGAGATTCTCTCCTTTTCATTTTTGACAAAATTTGGCCAACACAACTCTAGAATACACGTACATGTACAGAAATTCATACGCTAGTACATGTAGCCCACTTTTAATCTATTTTTGATGTTTTGGAGATTTTACAGATTTTGGTAGCCGCCCTCTAATACAAGCCACAGTTAATTAAAATTTACTTAATTAATGCGCCACGTGTGCTCATTGTTGTTCTCCGGCAAGACCTATAGTTTCTTTCATTACTGGGTTCCATATTGTCTTGTAGACATGGTGGCCTCTGCAACACTATCAATTTCCATGTCTCCCAATGTTTAGCTCGAGTTTGCTCGATTTCTACACAATGGTGCGCACTACTCGTGGTGAGTGATGAGTGCGATCACGTGCAGGTGTGACCAGCCACATGTGCTATCGCTAGGAGAGAAATAGTAGCCGCTCTCGAATAGTGACCACCCTCGAATAGTAACCCCTGTCAACTTGAGCTGAAATTTATAGTAGCCACGGCTAGTAATCGAGGAAATACGGTAGTATCAATTATTACAATAGACAATGATATATCATATACTACAATAGCATAGTCTCAATCAATAGCATTGTACTATAAATAGTATCAGTGTTACTATAAATAGTATCATTTACCGGAAGAATGACACTATGTCTCAGTTCCAGTCTCCAGTGCATTGAGTGGGAGGGAACATTGATCCAATGAATTAAGAGAGACTCCTAAATCAGGAGAGACCCAGATTTTATGAAATGAAGACAAAGACAGAGTTTGTAAGACAGAGGGACCATCTAAACATGGGCAGTATAGGAGGCATTTTAATTTATATTTTATCATTAAATTGTAAATACTTACCTGGAGTGTTATAACATTCTACAGTATTCCAGTGGATGAATGGCAGCAATGATCATGGCATTAGAGACACTGTAGACCACTGGATAATAATGAAGTTAAGGATCATAATTGTACATTATTAATGATTAATGTACATGTACATGTACATATATAGCTCAAGGAGAGAAAATAGTAAGAAGAAAAGAGAAAATAGAGAAAGAAAGGATTATATACTGTATAAGCCTTGGGTATTTTTTAGATTTCGTCAAACTTTTTTAAATGGTCGTAACTTGAAAAAATTAAGTTGGAATCAACTGAAACTTTTTACACAGCTTAAAGATATCAATATGTATCAGAAAATGTAATAAAACTATAAGGGCAATCTTTAGCCATTTTTCAGAAAACAACCATGGGCTATAGCTTTGGGTATTTGAAATATTTAAGTTGGAATCAGCTCAAAATTTCTACACAGCATAAGTACATTAATATGCATCAAAGATTGTGACAAAAATTAGAGGCATTTTTTAGCCATTTTTCTGAAAAAAAACCATGCACTAACTTCTCCTTACCTATTTTTAACCTTGCTTTGCTTTTCCTTCACCTACATATTTTATTTCTTTTATTTATAATAAATTTTTCAAGGGCTTCGTTTCTTTTTTACAGGGCTATATATAGCCTTGGGTATTTTTAGATTATGGCAAATTTCTTAAAATGGATGTGACTCAAAAAATTTAAGTCGGAATCACTTCAAACTTTCTACACAGCATAAGGACATTAATATGTATCAGAGAATGTAATCATGTAAAAAATGGTGGTGATTTTGAGCCATTTTTTGAAAAATTCAAATGCTAAGGAATGTGCATGGAGCATTAATTAGGATACACACAGTGAATGACAGCGGCCATTTAAAAGAGCATCGTTCAACTTCCCGACATATTGTGTAAGGGTATGATCATACTGAAAGGACTTCATGAAGACTGAAGAGAGGGCCATTAGATTGTTGCTGGGATGAGGAGGAGGTAACCTTTATGAGAACCAAGTACTGTTACATGTATCAAGACTGGAGCCTATTGAGAGGAGAATTATTAAAAACTATTAATAAAAAATTATAGACCAAACCTATTTTCAATGCATATGATTACAATAATTATTTATTCATAACAAATAAATTTTTCCTATACGGTATCCACCCAGGATGCAAATTACTGACGGCAAGAAGGCCTCAAGATCAAAGGCGGTGACACTGCCTGGACATTTTGTGAGCTCTACAAGGTACTTCAGGCTTACAAGCAGCATTTATGGAAAGTATGGAGGCCAGATTGCGTCTTATAGACCAGGTAACTCTTGCTGCAGCATAATTTTTTTTGTTATGCTTCATTTCGACACCTTGGGTTTGATTTGCCTTTGATGTGGAGAGCTTCTTGCTGTCAGTAATTTCAATCGTGGGTGGCTGCCATAAAAAACTTCATTAAAAATAGTCTTAGCGCCTAGGGGATCTATACATTGATGGAGAGGGAACTTGAAAAATTCCTAAGAAATCCAAATTTAATCAGTATCAGTTCAAACTTTTCATGCAACATAAGAATATGTATATGCATAAAAAAAAGCTATAAAAACGCTGAAATCTCCTTTTAATTTTTGACAGAATAATACCGGGAGTTTGGCCCCATCATTGAAAATCTTAAAAGATTTATTTCAAAATCCAAATTTAATCAGAGCATTGATTTATGATTGGAATCGGTTCAGACTTTCTATCCAACATAAGTACATGTCAAGCTGGTAATACTATTCTCTCTCTAACCTTCTCTCAGAGGACAACACCACAAGAAAGTCCAATAAGGTAAGCATGAAATCCATTATCCTCTGCAACAACTCTCTGACTCACTAGGAGCAAATAAACACGTTATTATTATTGTATAGGAAGTGATTCAAACAACTTTTTCCAAATGTCTATCGAAAAAGTGCCAAATTTAGCAAATTCATATTCTGTGCATTTACTGACTGTTTCATAAACAAAACAGCAATTAATCAGCTTTGTTACACAGTCAAAAATAGGTTGCAAGTCTAGAATGACTTTTTCCTTCAGCTCTGAAATATATAGAAAATACATAAT